CGCTATAGGATTAAAAGTTGGATTTTCCAGACGTAGAATTCAATCAGGTGCATGAAACAGATTTATCCTAATTGTATTTACGGAGAGTTTATTTGAAAGTACATGTGTATTCTCAATTGAATTTTACACATTTGTATAAAAGAGCTTGATGTGTACATGCATCTTTGCTAGCCAATGATGTTTGTGATTCGTTCCTCTCCCTGTATTTCACAAAAATAACAAATATGTGGCATTTCCATAACGGACTTGTTTGCGGCAAAATCTTGTTCATAAAAATGATGGACAAAAGATTTCTAGGTGGTACAACTATCACGAAATAAACATCCAATGTACAAAAAATGAATTTGATGGCGCTATGCGACATTATATTCCAGAGATTAATCAATTATATAGCTCTCTTTTCTATTCAAAGACGTCCATATTCTGAGTTTTTTATCGTCTGCTACACTAGCTAGGACTTCCTGGTCACGTGGGTGGAAGGCAACAGCACTCACACCAGTGTGATGGTGTAACCTGGAAACGACTTTATGCGAGTGACGATCCCATAGGAAAACAACATCCGGTTCAGATTCACTGAGAAGTAAAAAAAAATAATGTAAAAAGACTAAATCTTGTATACAATTATAAACATAAGATTTCGATATGAATTTTATCGATGAAATGCAAAAAGCCTTTACATAATAATTGTAAAATGTATACTTTGCGACGAGGTCTTCAGACACACTTGGAAAGAAGTAAGATATTGTTAATGAATCATCTGCAGGTTTGGGGTCACAAAATATTTCCGGTTGTTCTTCAGTGTTTTCCAGACTGATCACCATGGTAACGACATCCTTCTCGTGCATGATGTAGACCCCTTCAGTTGAAAGTCGCCTCAAGTTGTATACCATGTACCTTTTAACATTGATGATGTCACATAATTTTGAATGTTCAGATTTGAATTACATTCTAAACTACAATATTAACAATTTAGAATTTATCATAGTTAGTAGGAAAGATCAAGATCAAAAAATATTGAACCAGTTGGATAGTTCTCATCAATTTTTATCAGGATATGAGGTGTGACAAAAATATCTTAAAATCTCTTTCAAATTGGGTTTAACGAGTGTGACAGAAGAACAGATGGAACAAAAAGATGACAAACAATGCAAGCGGTCCTGGCCATACTCATGGCGGGTCATAAAAACATATTGGCTGAGATGGATGTTACCTGTGATTAGTGGAAAAAAATTCCCAGACACGCACTATTTGTTAAAACAGTTTTGATTGGCTCTATCACCAAGGATTCTAACGAATCTAAGCTAACTTTATAAAACACTGCTCCGTTTTCACCAGACCGATTTAGCCTCTGTTTGTAGAGCGCTATAACTTTCACGTTTGTGGCAGAATTGTCCTTTGGTTCATTTGACGAAGAATTCCACTCTCTCCAGTCTTATGACTTTAACAAAATCAGGATTGAACCCTACTTGTTCAATTTTTAGAAGATCTTTTGTGTCTACATTTTGTTTTGAGAAACAGTCCGGGATCCGTAGCTCCGATAAAAGACGGTCATCTTCATCAAAGACGTCTTCATGAAACTTAAAAGAGAATTCCATATTAACAAGGTTAAAAATGCCATAATTCCTGAACATTAATATCTCTTTCGAAAAATCACATACATTTAAACAGTTACAGTGTATGTGCCAAAAAGACATTCACTGCGGTTAATACTACGTCATTAATTTACATTCAAGAAGGTTTCATTGTTCAGCCATGTTCCTCTGAAATTGAAGCCACATATACATAATCTCTAAAAAGACAGGAAAATATACTTCTAAATGTGTAATTCCTTTATTGTATGTGCCAAAAAGATGAAATTCCTTCATAGCAACCCTCCCCCCCTCTCTCTCACCCTGCAAGAAGTTCATGGGTCATATCCCATAGGTTAATACTTAAGGACGTCATAAAACAACTCAGAGGGAAAAGATGTCCTACAATTTGCACGGATTTATTTACATTCTTTAACACTCTCAGAAGGTTTAGTAGTGAATTTAACCTAAACATACTTTGAGCAATGTTATACTGCTGAACCCGACTCTTCATTATTAAAAGAACTTTTATAAAAAGATAAAACATGTTTTTTACCTCTTTGAAAAGCACAGCTAATGTCTGTCATATTCGAGACTTCTGCTTGTAGAATGAACAAGAAGGTGTGTTTCTGCTGCCAACGATATACAAATAACAACACTGTGTTATCCCATATTTCCAAATCTGCAAAATATCGACGAGGAAAATATTTCATTCACTTCTAAATCTTACATTTACAATGTGCTCCACACGTAGCAATCCTTTAGAGAAGCATTGATACCTGTGCATGTTTGGTGCAGATGCAGGACAAATTAAACGTTTCAGCTCCAATTTCCAACTATCCTCCTTGCGCAGATATTGACATCCAAGTCTTTTTAAAGTCAGATTTCTCCATAAACTTTCATCTTGAGCAATACGATACCAATTCTGAAAAAGGCCAGTCAGATTAACGAAAAATTTTGATCCGAGTTGAAAACTGACCCAATAGTTCAATTTCATTGTTGAATATTGAGACCAAGGCTTTGAAATTTAGACCCGAACCATGTCGTAAAATTCTGATTCACAAACCGGTCAAAAATTCGAATTTACTGGGGATACACACATCTCCAGTGCTATGGGCGTGTTGAAGACAACACAGATTCTGTTATATCTATTCATATTTAGACATTTTACTCCCTCAAGAAGTCAATGACGGACTAATTAACTTTCAGAGAAACGAAATGACTGTCCATCAACAGATTTCCTTCTTTGCCTGCATATGGTGTTATGTCTCCCAAATAATTCAATAAGCAGGAGCATGCTCTGAATGCGATCAATTTTACCGAGACAGGCTATTGACAAATAATGACGTTACAGGGATTTCAACATTTTAAAGTCAGCATTTCGAAATCATGGAAAACACTTGTAGAAAAAAATATGTAGTTCATGGGTCATATCCCATAGTTTACAGAAGGTTAGAGTGTGTCAGACAAAAAAAGGTTTTTGATTTTCCTCAGGACGTGGACCCTGTTCACAGATTTGTATTATTTGTATCTTTTAATTTTTTTTTTTAATAAATGTGTATAGGTTACTAGTATGTCCTACAATTTGCACGAAAGACGTCAGTTAAGATTCATTAAGATTCAAGATATGCTTTACTACACTCTCTGTTGTTTTGACTTTGGTCTCAAGTAGTGAATTTAACTTAAACATACTTTGAGCAAGGTTATACTTGCATTTTCCAAGAAAAAGCCGAACAGTGCTTCATTATTAAAAGAACTTTTTTAAAATATATATAAAACCATGGGCTTTTTGAACATACTTTTTACCTCTTTGGATGGAAAGCACAACAATGTGCATTGTCATATTCAAAAAATTCTGCTTGTAGAATGAACAAGAAGGTGTGTTTCTGCATCGTTAAACTCAACGTAGTTCACATAATCAGGGTCGCTATGTAACTTTCTATAAATTAACAACACTGTGTTAATCCCATATTTCCAATATCTGCAAAATATCGAGAATAAAAACCTGAGGTAATGAAAACAAAGTACGATTTCATTCAAGTCATCGCTATTTTTATTAATGAAATAGAAAAATTTAAAGAGTTGGGATTAAATGACCAATTAAAGGAAGAACAAGAAATTTTAGCATTTACAATGCCGTCTGCTCCACACGTAGCAATAAGACTTCCACTGTTAGAGAAGCATACATTGTAGACCTCGTCCACGTGATCTGTGCATGTTTGGTGCAGATGCACTGGGACGTGACAAATTAAACGTTTCAGCTCCAATTTCCAATTATCCTCCTTGCGCAGATATTGACATCCAAGTCTTTTTAAAGTCAGATTTCTCCATAAACTTTCATCTTGAGCATTTGACACCAATTCTGAAAAAGGCCAGTCAGATTAACGAAAAATTTTGATCCGAGTTGAAAACTGACCCAATAGTTCAATTTCATTGTTGAATATTGAGACCAAGGCTTTGAAATTTAGACCCGAACCATGTCGTAAAATTCTGATTCACAAACCGGTCAAAAATTCGAATTTACTGGGGATACTTTTAAATCTCCAGTGCTATGGGCGTGTTGAAGACAACACAGATTCTGTTATATCTATTCATATTTAGACATTTTACTCCCTCAAGAAGTCAATGACGGACTAATTAACTTTCAGAGAAACGAAATGACTGTCCATCAACAGATTTCCTTCTTTGCCTGCATATGGTGTTATGTCTCCCAAATAATTCAATAAGCAGGAGCATGCTCTGAATGCGATCAATTTTACCGAGACAGGCTATTGACAAATAATGACGTTACAGGGATTTCAACATTTTAAAGTCAGCATTTCGAAATGATCCATAAATAATAATAAACTTGCTAGAAAAAAATATGTATCCTATCACTGAGTCGTATTTTGACCAATGTATTTCCAAATATTTACATTTGCAAATGTTTTCCTTTATATATAACACTACTGAAAGCAATGCGTATCTATAACTGTATAAATACAGGTACGGGGTCAAGAGGTCATAGATGTGCGTATGGATAAACGTTTGACGTAATTTCTCAGTGACGTCATAAAGGGTCGACGCGCGTTCAGTGGATTACACACTTGCCGTTGGGTTTGAAAAATAATGCATTTCGCACGTTAAAAGTCACAATCAGGCAAAGATAAAGTATGAATAAGTCACAAATGTAAATATAAGTAATAAGATATCATTTTGAAACATCTATCGGGCTATAAATACGGGTTGGTACGAGATCTAGTTCATCATAAAGCCCTTCGGGCTTTATGGAAAAATTTAAAAATCTGGTGACCATGACCCGTATTTATATCCCGATAGATGTTTTAAAATGATACCTTATTTCTTTACACAAATATGATCAGGGAGTGTGTCAGATCAAAAGAAGGTTTTTGATTTTCCTCAGGTCCGTGGACCCTGTTCACAGATTTGTATTATTTGTATCTTTTAATTTTTTTTTAAATTGATCACTATTATATTCCTTTTTTTCATACTTCTATATTCTTCAGTGCAAACATGTTTTTCATAATTATGACCTTACATCGTTCAACTCATAGTTATTACTAGAAAGGGACGACTTTTTGCTTTTATATGAATGTAGGTCAAAATAATAAATGCCTGGCATATAAAAAGTTTGACGGTCATCACATATAAGAATGTAAAAAAAAAAAAAAATACAGGCCTACTGCACGAAAGTTAGAATATCCTTTAAAACTAGGCCTAGATAATGAGATCCGTACATTTGCAATTTATTATAATTGTCTGGTGTGCACATATAGTGTAATATGATATTACCTTGCAAGTCCTGGCAGCATTGTTTAATTCTTGTACATTCAGGTAGGAGAATAGTGTCAATAAAATTGGATCCGTCAGATCTTTCCATGGATCATCCATTTCACTTGGAACCAAAGAAAGATAACTCTAATGTTATGAAGAAAAATAACAAATAGCAAATAACTGAAAGTGAAAGCAAACCTAAAGTAAAATGGATAAATCAAGACATCACATAGCAACGTTCACTCTTACCCCATCACTAAGTTCCATCGTGGTTCACCTTAGTGCCCTAAATTCGATAATTATTTTTGTGTATTTTAAAGCTTTTGTTTTCCCGTGGACAACATATACTACAGTAACATTACAGATCTATAAATAGATCTGGTGGTGGAGCGGATCTAAAGAGTTGATACAGGACGACTTCCTGTGACAGCTACTCTATACATTTGTATTGTAAGAAAGCATACATTAAAAATAAAATAAATCATGATAAAAAGCGTAAGCCTTGTGTAATATTAAAAATTTATTTTTCATACATAAATAGTTTATTAATACATTGAAAAGATTTTGGAAAAAAAATTTCATTTGTGCTTGTTTTGTTAATACCCCCCCCCCCCAGTCACCAGACTACCTTTCTCATAAATTAAGATGTCTTCAATATTCAGATGCCATTTTAACTAATTAAGTGTGGTGTATGAACATTGAAACATATTTTGTAATGCGGATAAATTCAAGACCATTGATAAACAAAGGAGAAAAAACATGTTTTCAGGGTGTGTTTATGTCTTATGCTGTCTTATCCCACTATTGCTGGTACAGTATGGTGGTTGTCGATGTGCGTGAACATTAAATTTGACGGAGAGTGGTCATCGATGTTGTTTGTTCCTGAGAGTGAATTCGAACACATGGCGGTTTGTAGATCTTCAGGTATGTATGTAACAGACAAAGTAATTACTTACAGATATGCTTCTGGTTCAAGCGCGTGGCGTGGAAAGGTGATCCATTTTTAGACGTGTACGCATGTATCATGTTTATCGTTCATCAATCTCCTCTGTTGCATCCTCTTCGTTGCACATGCGCACTGGACACCTGTGGCGATGATTTTGGCAAATATCTTTGATCTCCCACAAAAACATCTTTAAAATGGGGTGGATTTGATAATTATTTTATCTAAGAGCCGTAAGTATAACTACCTTTAATTTAACTTTACTAATATCTGTCAGTTTCTTTAACCTTTAAAGATCTTATCACTGCAAACACTAGACTCCTTAGCTCCTTGTAATTAGCAGTATATGCCTGCCAGGTCCCTATAAACCTACTGCATTATGACTTGTCTATTGGAGCAACACTGCGTCCATGCTTTTTTTGATAGATTTATGCGCCTGTAGATGATGTCCAATGATTAATTAGGAATTGTGAGTTTTTTTCCCTTCATCCAAATAATTTGTGATGGAGCAGACATTTGTTAAAACTCTACATCAATGCCATCTGAAAAAGTTGCAAATCGAACGGACCATTGCCACTTCGTCTGTTTTCTTCATTCCTTAGTTTTCTAACGGGACCTGTCGAAGCACCTGCATGACTGCCCAGCTTCAAATAAATCCCCGTGATTCTTGCTTAAATACGAAAAGAGCCTTCCCCCATGCTAGCATTACAAGGGCGTACAGTCGAACCCCAGTCGAGATAGGGAAAATTAACTTTATTTGATACCCTTCACGAACTTGAATACGTTCCATGCATGTGCCGACTAAGCATTTTTTTCAGTTACATATTATATGTTTTTGTTTCTTGTATCAGATTAAAGTGAAACATTCTTGCGTTTTTGCATTACAGTTTTATCCAACCTTCACGAAATATGACTCACTATCTAGAAATCTGGCTGTCGAGATAACTGTAAACACCCTTCATTCACCTCTTAAAATCAGAAAAAATGAACCTGTTACTATGACAATTGAATCTTTCTTCTCTCAAAATAGATTTGCACTTAAGCCTGGAATTTCATGTCTCTTCACGGGATGCACTCTTTAAAACTATCTACACGTGTAAATACCTTTCACTTTCGCACAGAGATACTGTTATTTGAATTCGATATAAAATATATGTTCTAATTCATTAAATACCAGGGCTTTAATAAATAAAGTAATAAATGTTTTCCATTTTGGTACAGAAACTTAAATTTAAAGACCTCACAATAAAAATAATGTCTGACGAATCACCGAAGTCCAATACAGATAGCCCGGTACAATCCTCATGGTGAGTGATAGCTATTTAAAATATGGCTCCTCCCTCACACCGGCTCGCCCCTCCCCTTATCCTTTTTTCCTCTTTATACGCTATTATACCATTTCCTTTACCTTTTTCCCCTTACTGCTATAATTTTTCTTAAATTTAAAATTCCGTACAAGGTAATTCAATAGCTGCCATTCAAACCATTTTAACTTCCCAGTTAAAAAAGTTCAACAGCATGAACAAGAGTTGTTCACAAATTGTATCACTGTAGGTCCATCAATATAATTATACTCATTAATAATTATTATTACAATGTCAAGATATATTCAGTCGTGATTAGACAATATGCTTTTGGGGACCATATCTGTATACAGTACAACATTTATACAAAAAGGTCATACAACCATTAAATTATGCTTCCGGTAAAATATTATGACCTATGTTTACTGTCCCTCATGAATTCAATGTACTAAAAAAAAAACAGGCTTCTCGAATTATGTTTTCTACAAATGCTGACAACTATAATGTCTCGGCACCATTCAAATGTCGCCCAACTCTGTTGTTCAGAAAAAGATACGATTTGCCAGTTGTTAAGAATATGTATCATTGTCACTCCGCCTGCTGTCCACAACATTTATGTACTATTTGTCACTCGATATTGTTGTTCAACATATCTACTGTTTGTTTTTTACTCGACAGAGTTGTTTGTAAACCGACACTGTTGTTTAGTCCATGTACTGTTTGTCAACTGTCATTCTTCATTGTTAGTAAAAGTTCTTGAACAAAAACATGGAATTTTTCACTAATCTATTGTTCAGAAATAGTGCAGTTTATTAATAGTGTCCTTTTGAAGTAATATGTATATAACAATATTCGCAAGTCTTTGAGGCAAAGAATTATATACTAAAGACGTTTCCTTTATTTAAAAAAAAAATTCTAATCTCTGATGAGGTTATTTGTTACATTGTGATCTGATTTATGTCAAGTCACTGCGAATATTTTTGCTTGAATGAAATATTAAACCAAAAAATACGTCTGTTAATTAGAACACTCTTTCTCTCTTTGACCGTCATAGTACGGTATACTGTAATGGAATGTACTAAAATTAATTAATGCCATAAAATCCCATTGCCAATTGTAGTTTTCAAGATTTGAATTCTATATAATTATATTAAAATTTATACATTTACCCGCGATAATTTGAAATTTTTCTCTACGGAAAACATTTTGTTTATGGTTAATCACCAGAGACCAAATATAAAAGTACTATTTCCCTTATCTAGTGGAGAGTACGCTTTGTTAATACAATAAAGACATATTAGTATACTAATGAAAATTTTCAAAAATAAAGAAAAAAATAAAAAAGAACATACTTAATCTAATTACTAAGTTTTAGTAAGTTTAAAAAGCCAAAGCTTTTCAAGCTTACAGGTCGAAAAAATATAATGTCTAAAATTCGACCAAAAAAAAAACTAAGCAGCAAATCACGACCTTTGCTGCCACTGTATACCGGTAAAACCAAAGATGTGAGTACCTCTCAAACATACATTGTACCGGTAATACCAAAGATGTGAGTACCTCACAAGCCTATATTGTACATCTAAATTAGTTCCATCTTGTACCACATTCTCTCCTCCTCTGTAGGGTTAGTAGTACTGTGTATCTCTCGCCTGGTGACTCTGGTCACCCCTCTCTCTCTCTCTCTGGCGGATCGTGTTCTGTATTAACCCTGTTACCTTTGGCAGTTTGTAACTGTACAGACAGGATATGACTGGGTTATGCTTGTTTATCTCCCCCAAGTACTGCATCACGCTATGCAGTCTGAAGTGTGAGTACTTTTTGGTTGAACTCTGTTGGAAAAGAAAACCTTTTACTTCATGTGATATTTGAAAGGTCCATAATAGTTATTAAAGGTTTATATTTCAAAGAAGTTTCTGGATATCCCTAAAGAGTTATTTTAACGCTTGAGAAATTAACCAAAGAACAAAACAAAATTTACAGAAGAATATTGATGTGTATGCTTTTTGCAAACAATTTGCAGATGCAGTGCTCCTTGATATGAAGTGGAAAAATAATAACCTAGTACTATGCCTGAGCTTCTAAACATAACCATATGTTATATCTAATAGACAATGAATAAAGGTGACAATAATTGTAGCTAGCCTGGGATGATGGCATCTTGCACATGTGTATACCTGTTTATATTATGCAAATGAATGAATATAATTACGGACACGATTTGATAGAGGGGGATAAGGTTTATTTTTTATTTTATGACCCACTGAGAGCCAGTTCCTGAGACCGAACGCCTAAGTAGTGTAGATAGCTCACGTGTGTATTCCTCCCCTAGCTGAGTTCCTATCGTGAAACATCTGCTGCTTGCAGCTTGCAATTCTATGTCTGTTAACTGTTGAACCGCCATTTTGTTCAAATCTTTCACCATCCAAAATGGCGGTGGGTAGCTGAATCACATTTGCACTGATGGGTTTCTCTGGCGCTTTGTTATTACGATAGCAGACCTTTGTTGGATTTTCGAGCCCTTTGAAGTTTTTCCTTCACATTAACGATTATCTATCGTTGCTGCCTTCTCTAATTCTAGTATGGACGACTCGGCTGTTATAGAGAAGCTCGGAAAGAAAAGGTTAGTGATTTTTTAATCGACCATGTGGCGCCCTGTTTAATGATCCTGTTTCACAGCAACCGGGTTTTAAAATTTGTTTAAAAATTGCTTAAATTTTCCTTCATGAAAGTATTTAATCCGTTTTAAATACTCTGATACGTATAAGATTCTTTATTTGTTTCCACCGAAAATATATAAAGTTAGTTTGGAAACGACACGTGGAAATTTAGAAAATAAAAATTCTAAAAAATAAAGACGGATAAAACATTTTAAAATTATCGGAATATGGCTGCCAAATTGAAGTTATGTATTCTATTTCAATAAGTTTATGCATTTTCTGCCGTTATCGTATCTCGATTTGTGGGCCTGGGTTGTTTTACATCAGTTGGTTACCAAGGCGTTTTGATAAAATTTCTCTGTAACATTTTGTTCTGGATACATTAAGGTGCGAAGTTTAACAAAGGGAAATTTTACAAGAATGTCTTTTCTTGGCATAATGAGGTATTTATATAGAGAATCACTAGTTGACAGGATTATTCAAAAACACTGCTGAGTGATCAGACGAGGATAGTTTTTGATATATTTTTCTTCCACCCACATTTTATTTTATGCCTTTTTTTAGATTGAGTTTATTTTGTTGGCATTTCTGGGTTATGACGTGAGCATCATTCATTAGTCATCTTTCTTTGTAGAAAGCACACACCGTTTCCTCATCTTTTTCTGTTGATTTCACATTCATACAATATTCTAAGCCACTTCAGCCAAAACTTCAGGCACTCTGCGTACAGCCAGGCACATAATTTTATTTTCTGACCAGAAAGTTGTTATCATGTGTATATACACTGCTTAAATTGAATCAAGATATGTATCTAATGTAGATGAAAAGATTATCTTTTCCCGCCGCCGCTTCAGCGGCTGGTGATTAACAGCGTTATGTCATTAAGGAATTTGGTAGGTAGGATTGCCTTGATTATAAGAATAGTGAATGCTTCGTGTTCTGTATTACTGTTTAAAGTTGTTCTTATTGTTCATGAGCAATTGAAATATTTGTGGCTTCAGAATTCTTTTGATCACTTCATTTCTAGGTAAGGTTTATAATTATCTTTTAAGCTTATTTCTTTTGCTAGCTATAAGGACTTGAAACGGGAACTCAGTGGCTCATTTAGTGAACAAAGTATTTCCAAAGTAAATTATCACAGGCTCCATGCTTTACAGCTGTAATATCAATTTTTTGTCTGATTTACCTTCGCCTGAATTCCTCTGATATAAGTACGACCAAAATAGAAACAATACTTATTATTACCAGGTGTTACGGCAATAACTGTAACGCGTGCAGGTCTACCGTGCATGTAGACAAAACTGTCTCTGAATGAATTTTTTTCTTTGGTAAGATTTCCGTTTATTCGAGTCGTTGTCTTCCAAGGTGATATATGACATAGAACACGACTGTGACGTAAGCGGAGGAGATAACCCCCTACCGCTATCTAGATTATTGCCACGCTCTCGACTGCTAGTTTTACACTCACGTCTCCCTAATGACCGGATGGAGGAGATTAATGATAATCGTGTGTTAATTAATGGGAGAATAAATTGCCTGATTGGTCGTGATTTTTCAATGATATTTCTTATTTGTAGTAATCTCCTTCAGTACATTCCTAAATAAAAAGCAACCGACTGGAAGATAACATAGATAAAAACTCATCATATCTGAAGAAAACATGTAGGAAAACAAGATCTCAGTTTTATTTAATATCCATTTCTTTCTCTTTTTAACCCCCCCCCCCCCCTTACCCCCAATCATTTCATAGTGGTTATAATATTTGAATCATCTAATTATCAATAATTTCTCATAAAAAACAAAATTAACATTAATTTTAATCTTACACAACTATTTGTACGTATTTTATTTCAACAGAAACATATTGCTTCTGTTGTTATTTGTAGTTAGTTACAAGCAGATGATTAATTATTAGGCAGACAGATGCCTTTCTAAATCTACTCATTAACGATGTTCAACATGCTTCAACTAGCCTGGATTAGCGAATACATCTGGAGTATTCTTTCTTTCATATTTGAAATAGCGGTGCTAGAAAATATCCTTTTTGTATTGTGTGTGTGTGTGTGTGTGAGGGTATGTGTGTGTGTGTAAGGGAGAGAGAGAAAAACAGAGAGATTATATCCAGGGTTGGCTTATTGTTTTACGCCATTGATCATACTCGGTAGATGTTCACATTATAATTAACCTTCGTAATCCGCCACCTAAATACTTCTGCTCGTGTCAATGTTGAATCGACACTAGCTGTAAACATGTGTAAAAGTCTTTAGTGTGTCATGTCTTGCATGTCAATGATTGCAAAAATGAAAAGAATGTTTCGTATATCTCCAGAAAAAAATACAAAGAAATAATCTTTGATATTTTCTTCATTAAACCATTTTATCTTTAAATTTGAACTTTCTATAGAGAATGATATCTACCCAGTATTTGCACAAGGAATAGATATATCTCTTTGACACATAAATGCATGCACAATTTTGCCAAAACGTTAGTATATTCATTATCTGTAAGTAGAAGTAAAATTTATTGACGGCTTCTGAAATGTTGTAATATAATTTGCCTGATTCACAATATTTCTTTACTAAAGATTACAATGCTTTCTTCAGGTATCGCCGACGACAAGAAAGAGAGCGCTACCACACTACCGCCATCGACATTAACCAAATAAACGCCGCAGCAATGTCCGCCACGACCACCACCGCCACCACCACATCTTCGACCCCCGTGGGCAACAAGCTCGCGCAGGAAATTAATGACGAATTTCTGACATGCAAGATTTGTTTGGAAGGTTACAAGAACCCGAAATGCCTCGACTGCCTGCACACATTCTGCGAGCAGTGCATCGACAACCATATAATGAATGAATGCACCTATAAGAAGTATAGCGACTATCGAGAATTTACTTGTCCATTATGTCGCAAAAGAACACAGCTACCGCTAGGTGGCGTCAAGAAACTTCCAGACAACTTCCTCGTTTCGAGTTTGTCAGAGCTTGTTCAGCGACAAAGACCTTCCAAATTTCCATTCTGTGACATCTGCAAGCTTGTAAACAGGAAACACAGAGAAGCGACTTCAAAATGTTTAGATTGCAACAAGCTACTCTGCAAACAATGTGTAGAAATGCACAAGGAAACGAAAGTAACGAAAAACCACAGCATTTTTGACGTAGAGATTGAAAAAGATATTGAATGCAAAGAGCATTCGGAGGAGGTTGTTCGTTTTTACTGCGAACCGTGCGAAGCTTGCATTTGTGTTCTCTGTACGTTCAATGAACATAAGGATCACGAAATCACTCAGTTTTCGGAGGCAGTTGTGAAGTACAAGGAGAATATTCAATATCTTCTCGACGACTGCAAGGAAAAAATCGCTACATACGACACTCAGCTGGAAGCCTTGTCTAAATGTGAAACCGTCATTCGTACAACGGAACAAAAGGTTAGAGATACCGCCATCCAATTCATTGCTGATATTCGAATCAAGGAAAAGAAATTGATCGATGATCTACACGAAATATATGGGTCCGACGTCATGGATTATGTTTCGAAAAGAAACGATATGCAGGCAAATGTGGATAGCTTAAAGAGCACGTGTAGTCTTACTGAATTGGTTTTAAGGGGCAAAGACATAGAACTTTTGCTTCTCAAAAAGCAAGTCCAAGAGAAATTGTCAGGATTATCAGAGATTGAATTGCGAGAATTGCCAAAAACCGTGGAGAAGAATATCATATTTATTCCAGGAGGTTTAGAGATGGGAAGCTTAGAAGACGCAGACAACTCACAGCAAGGGAAAATTCGCAACCAGAGAACGTTTGCTAGTATAGGATCGCAAAGAAATGTCCCCGCCGATCCTCCAAAATTCTATCGTACCTTTTCGACACAAACGGAAGACGTTTCGGAACCAGATAAGCCTACTTTCGTAGAAACATATGTACAAACGGATGTTTTCGGAGCTGGAACCAATGGAGAGACCACTGACAAGTCAGTAGAAACTGACAAAGTCGATTTTCAAGACAAAGGGGTCAACACTCGTTCACGCAGCTTGCAGAGTGTGTCAGGGATTCAGCCGATTCCAAGGTCGTCCTCACGCGACGAGAGTAACGCCAATGGCGAGACGAACTCCCATGGAGAACCAATGTCTCCTACCACTGCAAGACGACACAGAAGACGTCGCGAACGCCCCAAAATCGAGGTCTCCTCCCGTCCGACCACCAACAGACCGTCAACACAGGGGGTGATGATAATGAATTCAGGAGGCGGAGGAGGAGGTGCATGTCCAGTTCTAACCTACAGTAGTAGCATCGACGAGAATTACTTTAGTCCAGAGGGCAGTATTACGTCTCCGTGATAAAGGCTTTGCCTAGCCTTGTTATGATTGGGTATTCAAAGCAGTGATAGAGGAGCCAAAGGAATACTCTCAGATTTTTCGTAAATAATGTTGTTTTATAGAGTAACAATGTATGTAGCGCCTGGACATACAATCGTATTTATATAAACTTAGTAGATCGGCATCGACAAATACTCATTTTATACGCTGACAAAATGTACCTTAGACATATCACATTGTAAGTAGTTTTTCCACTTGACTGCAGGCCAATGTTCTCTGTGTGCAATACTTGTGCCAAACCATGCACTGATTCCTGTCCATATAGACAAACAGTAATGGGATGAACTGAACAGTTTTCTATCCAGTGTGTTTTATTTCAACCTTGAATAAAATGTTTTTATATTTTCCAGTATATATTTGTAAACAGCTGTGTAATTTTTCATCCAAGATTTATTTTGAAGGAAAGAGTTTTTAAATGTTAGTTTTTATAGATGTGATATGTTAAATAATATATTCCATATATTTATAATATATTTTGTATTCATCCGCCTCAGTTGTGACCAGTATATGGGTCACGTGATCAATATCGTCTGCTATGAAACTCGTCTTAAAGATGGAATACACGAAGAATTTTGAAGCTTTTCATCAAAGAAATAGTTGTTAAGCCTGTTATTTTATATCATTTTAGTTCTAGTGGAAAGGGATTATAAGCAAACGATGTAAGTTAATTAATCTCTGGTATAATGGAAAGAATGCTCCATCGTGGCCTATATAAATAAATAGGGTTAGTGTGTTCTTAGCAACATAGCTTTTACCACTTACACATTTAGATGTTAACTTGTTAGAAACTGTTCACAATAAATTTATCTGTGATAGACAGTCTTTACTTATTAATGAATGGCTCACCTTGGACTCCAGAGGGCGTTCCCCACTCTCATGAAGCGTCCTCTGTCCCAGTTTTCTTCAGATCTACCAAGTCAGTTTCAAACCAAACTGCCAAAAAAGAATGAGAAAGAATAGAACTCTCTTCAGTCGATCGGGCATGCTGTGTGTGGATAACTTAGACATACAGCGAAAATTGTTTTATTTTGACAATTATAGAGTGAACAAATCCTAATCTTATGGTTGATATGGATCAGAGACGAAGGTTTGGAAGAACATACAGAAAAGAAAACATTTGGAAGTTTTCTATGCAAACATTTTCACTAAGTGGTAATAATGATAAAAAAGAAAGTTAGTGGGAGCTAAAGCGTACGGAAGTTTGGAATTTGTGAAGTAATGATCCCTCCCCTTTAAGATTTAATTTCTTTAATTTGTCTGATCAAAAGGCGGAATTATGTGTTCCCTCCGTGTAATAATGGTCGCGAACCTTGAAAAAAATAAACTGATTACAAATATTTTTTATACTTTGAGGAAGTGATGGACATGTGCTCCCAAAATGCCGAAAATTCTAATTGCTCGTGCCCTGACAACTTAAACCGGGGGAGAGATGCTGTGTTAGCGACACACCGGTATAGATCAGAAATAAGTCGTTGAAACAAGGATATCAACAGTTCTATTTAAAGTCACAATTTAGCAAATATGGTGGATAAAATGGCCTTGTCGGCAAAAACGATCTATTATTATTTTCGAAATTATTGTTAGGTCATCTGACAAGGAGCCAGGACGAGTGTTTCCGGTCAACAGGGGACCGGTTTTGCTAATGCAGTACTCTCAGGATGCCTGTGTGGTATATTCCGCTATCATTTTTAACTTGTTCGGTACTATTAAAGAACATGCTCCGAGTACGATCATTTGTCTTCTATAGCAGGCTACTGATTGTTAAGTTGATGTTACAGAGATTTCAACAACCTCGTCTAAAGTATTCTATGATTGTTATAATGACCTTGTAAATTAAACAAATATAACTACAGCTGTATTCATTTGCTCGATTTCGGCTGACATGTTACATACCAATTAATTCATTTCCTCTATTATATTTGATTTTTTTCCTCATTAAGTTATTGCATTAGGAATTTTTTAAAAGTTAAACATCAAAACCATGGACCTTTTGGTAATTGCAGGACTATTTGCAAACTATTTAATAAACTGGAATACAAAACGCCATAATAATCCTTACAAAGAGACATAGCTAGAGCGGATTCCAGAAAATGTTATAAAAAATAAGCCTCGTTCTTTACGCCTAATTAAGCTATATACTATGCAGCGAAAGAGAAACATCAGATGTGGATACTGTGGGAACTCTATGAAAATTATAAAAAACTTTGAAGTCACATTTTACCAAAATAAATAGGACTGCAAACGTATGCGTTTTCAATAATTATATTGTAATACAACCATTTCATAGATAGATTAAAGTCCTGGCTTTTTGACATCACAGACTGCTGTTTTTACAAACAAAAATGGAACAAGTAAATCTTTACTCACCTTGTCATTGGTCATTTGCAAAATTATTTTGTTAAAAATATTCTGATTGTACAGAAAAGTACTCTGAAGTTGATATAAAAAGGATTCTTGAGTTTCTGATTGATAAAATATATGTATTTTTTCGGGAGTCAGGTTTCCAAAAATCTGTTGGAATTCCCATGGGTACCAACTGCACTCCTTTCTAAGCAGACCTATTTTTGCATCATATGAATTAGAATTTATTCAAAATTCTACACAAGAAGAAGAAAACCCTTGCTGTGGCTTAATTCGACATGTCGATCTAACGACGACGCATTATCCCTCCATATGAAATATATGTTGACCCGATATATCCCAGTGAGCTTGATTAAAGGATACCACATAGTCTGGCACATTTGTATCATATCTGAATATTTTACTAGAAAAAAGACATAAATTGTAAACTAACAACAAAGCTGTATAATAAACGTGATGATTTCAACTTTGCATTAATAAGCTTTCCTTACTTTTGTAGCAATATACATGTACCCTTATCGCCTTGTTACAACGCACTTTGAAAAATTACGCACTTTGAAAACATTTTTCAAAGTGCGTTAAATTTGGGACCGAATCAACGCACTTTGAAAAAATAAAATTTTCATTTCAAAGTGCGTTAATATCGACCATATTAACGCACTTTGAAAAAATATGTATGGCTTGGGCAATATTCTTGCAAATCTTGGCTATGATAAATAATTGAACCTGTTTGATAACTCTTTGGTGATGAGGTCACTTCAGGATGTGAAAGTGAGCGATTTTGATTTTTCCATACTTTGAAAATTATATATCTCTAAATGTTTTACTTTAGTTTTGCATTTTGCATGCATTTTATATATGTAAACTAAAATTTATTTAAAGTTTTCAATGTCATACCAGTTATGCATATATACCGGTATATATTTTGGTGTGTAAGCATTGGTAAGGGGGTAATAAATGTTTTGCAAATATATAAATATATAGGCATTGAAAATCGTGGCTTGCCTTCGAGGGGGTGTCCACTTTCAATTTGCTATATACCAAGTTGGGCTGAGAGGCCTTCATGCCTTCTCCTATATTCTAATTTTAAATGAATACATGTAAATCAAAAATTTTTTCGAAAGATACAATTAATAAAAGTTGATTCTCTCAATTACTAAAATCTAAGTATAGAGTTTTTTGTTTTGTACATATTTTTTTCAAAGTGCGTTATATGCCCTAAGGTAAAAAATTGTTTATGTACACTCTTAACGCACTTTGAAATATTTTTTCAAAGTGCGTTGAGTGTGTCCAAAATTAAACGCACTTTGAAAAATTTTTTGAAAGTGCGTTGCTTTTGTCCCAATTTTAACGCACTTTAAAAAAATTTTTCAAAGTGCGTAATTTTTTCAAAGTGCGTTGCCACATCGCCTGTATATGGGCTTAATATCTCTCAGTTGATTTGATACGCAAGATCATGCTGTATGAATTAAGAATACGAACAGTTTTTAAAAAAGACATGTTTAAAAAAAACCGTTGGTGAAACAAAGATAACAATAGTCTATTTTGAAGTCATTATTTCGAAAGTTTTATGGTCGATTCAATGACCTTGTCGGCCTATACAACCTATCGTCACGTAAAATGCGGGTGATGTATTTTTTAAAATGAGTGTTCGGTCAATCTACTTACTGAGTTATTTACGTATTTCTCTTTTCCTCGATCATGACTAGGAGCTTATGGCGAGTGTGACCACTCTTCAGACGATGTTTACTCTTTACTTACCTTATCATTGGTCGCTGCTTTATATTGTTTATTTGGACTTTAAACTTGAATACTGTTCGTTATTTTCCTATTCATCTAAGATGAGTCTTGCAATGATCTAGAACTTTTTCATTTGTAGAAGAATGTAATAATAATAATACAATGTCAAACACAAAACATGGACCGCGAAATACCGGAGGTGGGATCGGGTGCCCAGGAGGAGTAAGCTTCTTTTATCGACCCTTTACATCTGCCGTAAGCCGTGACCGGAGAAGAGAGCGTCTTTTATTGACCATTTACATCTAGTTAGTTTTTTAAAACCAAAAACAACATATCGGACTAAAAAGGCGTACTAATGATGAGCTATATTTACAAACAAGGTCATTATAACAATAATAAAATTTGAACAAGTTAACTACAAAAGGACTGAGAATTTCCTGAAATGTTTGGCTTTTGTTTGAAAACAAATTTAGAAAAAAAATCCATTAATATATTAAGTTTTATTTGTACTAAAAGACTTCATCTTCCATTGTTAACATTGTGCAATTACTTTAAAACTGTTTTGCGGAAAACTATATGCTTTATTCCCTTTGTGTTGTCAACTAATGCACATTGTTGCGCCGACCTGATCTATCAATAAGTCTAATTTATCTCAGACCTCTGGAGTGTACTGAACTAAGCACCGTGGCGGGGATCGTTTGATACTAGATGCTTACATTATTGATATTTTGTGTAATGGCAAGCAAAGAAATTGCAGAGACGACATGTTGGACTTGTTAATAATAGATACAAAATGATTGCTTTGGGGAAGAAACTATGTTGGCTCTATTGAACTTTGTTATTGTCATAAATTTCAGATCTTTTTTTATTTTTTGGCTCCAATCAAAACTCGTATGTTTAAACAAATAATAGATGAAGTTTTTTTGTACATGTAGTCCGACATGTATTTTTCCGATTTGTTAGTTATGAAAATGTTTTTAAAATGAAGACTAAGTTTGAAAAATAATCTTTTGACATTAATGATATGACTATGAATGGATGATCTCTTTATTATAAAATATAAATTAGAGCAATATCCGGACTTATTACCTTGTGTCAACGGCATCCATCATTGCATGTACCGAAGGATTCGCTTTCGCGCTTATAATAGTACCAAATTTTATACTAGGTGCAAGAGACCTTTTAACTTCGCATAGGGAATACAGGCGGCAAAAAGCTAGATGGTATCTCGTCCTCCAATTGATAATGAGGACGTTAGAAGTTAGGAGACAGATCAGAGTGTAACATTGTAAACGTGTCCTTTGATATAAAGCGGCCATTTGTCATATCAACTAAATGAGCAAAGATATAACAACCTCTAATCTAATGGAAGCTGTCTGTTTCCAACTATTTGTCAGTTTTATCTGTTAAACTTGTGGTGATGTCAGAAAGTGGACGACAAAGGCAAGGCTGGACCGGCTCCTGTTACGAGTGTCGCAAAAAATGCTGCTGGTTCTTCAAGAGACTCGTCGTCTTCTGTTTCTCACAGATCGGCATCGTGTGTCTTGTGGTCGGATATGCACTTCTGGGCGCTGCAATATTCGGGGCCCTGGAAGAACCAAAAGAGGAACTTAATCGTGTATTGGTCAAAGACATAAGGAATAAAACGCTCCACCGCCTCTGGTGGCTGAATGAAAATTTATTCGTGTTTGAAAGACAAAACTGGACAAGAGCTGTGGAAAAAGTACTTCAAGACTTCCAGGTTTGTTTGTTATTGTTTTTTTTCTAGTAGACTGCAAATTACTTCATAACTGTTTACGTTTAACGGCCTTGAATAGGGCCGTGGAATATCTGTTCTCCGTCTGTACGTCCGTAACAAAAAAGCTTTAACGTAAGTAAACGTTTCCGAGAACTCTGTTTCTGCGAAACTATTCAAGGTATTTTTTTTGATGAAAGCTATTCAACTTCGTCAGAAATTTTACCATGTCCTTTCCTTTGATCTAATTCTTAACCTATTTTTTCTAAGCTTTGTGTTTATCTTATTTTTCTTTTATTTTTTGAAAAATAAAATCAGTCAATATTTTTTCTAACAAACTTGATCGACGAGATTTATACAAGTTCATCAACATTTTTGACTTTTACTTTTTTTTTTTTACCTTGACCTCAATTTTTTTCAATTCTGTTTAGTTCAGTTAGAAAAAAAATTATCAAGGTATTCTTGTCAAACGTCATAATTATGCCGGTACAATTTCTTTTCCAAAGTTTGACTTTGGCCTTTTCTTTGACTATAACTGCTTCTCTCAACTTTGTTTATTTTGTTTAAGACGCCGTGACTTGCCAGAGAAAAGCTGCAAATTGATACCTATTCTAGCACTCAGGGCCATCACATGTGCCACAGGCACAGACGTTACTTATTTTTCTTTTAATAAAAAAAATATACCCCCTCTATTATTAGTTAGGGGTATTTTTTTTTTATTAAAAGAAAAATAAGTAACGTCAGGTGCCTGTGCATTGTGCATGCAGTGAAGGGTCTTTTTTGTGCCAATACTTACAGCGACATGGGAACTCGGTTAATCCAGTCTCATCCAAAGCAAATACCTTCACATTTTGCAGTGAAATTGAACCCGCGACGTATAAGGATCCGCGACTCTAGAGCAGACGCTCTAACCGCTGCGCCACGCCGGGGTGTTTAATAATAAAAAATAATATTAAAAAAAGAGAAAAAAGTAAATAATTTGTTTTTGTCTATATCTGTATTATTTTCTTTGATTGATAGATAGATGTATTTATGGCGGTGACTATTGACGGATGGGATGGCAGGGAAGATAATTATACCGGAGTTTCTGAATGGTCGTTTACTGGTGCTCTCTTGTATTCTGTCACCGTGATCACCACAATAGGTAAGGAGACAATTCTGATTCGACGCCTCTTATTACAGTCAGATTTAAGTAAGCAGTCAATTCATTGGATGTTTTTATTACTACATTCAGATCTAAATAAGCAATCAATTCTTTGGATGCATAGATCTTACTAAGTAAGCAGTCAATTCATTGGATGTCGTCTTACTAAAGTCAGATCTAAGTAAGCAGTCAATTCATTGGATGTCGTCTTACTACAGTCAGATCTAAGTAAGCAGTCAGTTCATTGGATGTCTTTTACTACAGTCAAATCTAAGTAAGCAGTCAATTCATTGGATGCCATCTTTAAAGTCAAATCTAAGTATGTATGTGAATTCACTGAATGTCGACTTACTACAGTCAGATTGAATACTTGGTCTTCGTTGAGGTGGGTTCATAACAAAATATGTTATAGTATACAGTTTGAACTTATACATGTAATAACTGTAATAATAACAAAAGCCACTGAACTCATTTTCGACAGGAAAACACAACTTTTGCGACAGAACTATTATTTTATTTTCACAAAATTATAAACAAAAGTAAAAGTCCTAGAAATTTAACTTTCTGCTCTATAGGAATCCATTTTAGCTTATCTCACATCTTTATAGAAATATTGAGACTGGGTGTTCACTAGTGCTGTTATGTGTCCATATCACTATGTCCATATTATTTCAATAGCAATTTTCTTTACTATGCAAACAACCTTTCGATCTTTAAGTGTTCGTAGATTTTATTTAAATTTGAACTACTTGTTAGCTATCTATCAATGTCATATTTATCCAGAACAAATGATGTATTGTTGATGCTGAATGACAGCTAGTGCAAAAAAAGATGTTCTTATAATGTATTAGAATAATAGCGTGTACACACAATAAAGGGGTTGATAAATGACAAGGAAAATTCAGACGTTGAACTCATTGCCCACATATTGTATTAATTATGCATCACCTGATGCTTGCATTGGGTCTATAGCTTATACTTCTATTTGTTTTTAATATGCAGTGATCAGTCATTTCAAGATACATTTCCTATCATATTTAATTTTGAAGGGTTAGTTGAATCCACTATTTGATAGCGTATCATATTTCCCCCATATTTGAATGTCGACGCACATACACCATTTCATAAAACATTTATTGGAAACACGAAATTTCCATACCTAACTTAAAAAATCATCAGGACATAATATTATACGCCATACTATCGACAGCATATAAATGAATTAATAATGTCCTCGATATAACAGGTTGGGGGATTCTAAACTTTGAAAAAAAATAGTCTGAAAAAAAATATGAGAAAAAGACTCATAAATACTGGAGTAGTAATACGCCATATTACTTTTTCCTTTCTCTGAAATCATGTGTGGGGTATACCCTTCGCATGTCGTAGCGACAACATAGTGTAAACGCAGCCGCTGGCGGCAACGGTCTGCGTAACATCGTAGTAGAAGAGTGTTAGCAGGGCGTTCGATGTAGGAACATCGTAGTACCTTCGTACTGAAGGCCATAATTTGCTAAATTGTTCGATTTAGACGCCGATCGGCTCCGATCTATAACTTTTTCAGATCGTGGCTTGATCGGGATGATCGTCGTAAAGTCGCAGCTCTGTGTGAAGGGGGGGGGGTAACATTATATAAATATTGCATGTAGTTGAGTGTAACATAGAAAATTTTCACCCCAAGAAGACCATTGTGAATCAAGGCGCAGCCGAGGTTGACAATGGTTTTCGAGGGGTGAAAATTTTCAATGTTACACTCAACTACATGCTATAATTATTATATTATACTGAATGTTTTATACAAATACATATAACAGTGAACCGTGCGCGCAGAAATTCTGCGCAGTCGCAATTTTTGGAATATCACCCGTCGTCAAGCAATGTTGACTGTTGCTACGCTGGAGGGTGTGGCTTTATTATTCAGCGGGTAATAGTATTTTTTAACAAATGTTTCTTGACCAATCAGATTCAACTACTTTACATGAAAGTATAATATATCTTTTTAGTGTCCCAAAGCAATGCAAAGGAGGCATTACGGAAAAGTATAGGGGCAGTCTCATCTTAGTCAAGATTGTAACAATTGTGCCTTTGCTTTTCACATGTACATGTTATCCACCTTCTTTGCTATCAAGCAATAGATTTTTATCGCATGTTATTCATTACATTATTATGATGTTTCAGGATATGGGAACATTACTCCTAAAACCACGTTGGGACGGTTTGTTACGATTGTGTATGCATTCATCGGAATCCCTCTCACAATGATTTGCTTGGCTAATGTAGGTCACGTGCTTAGCATTTCGTTCAAGATACTCTATAGACGACTTGTATGCAAAAAGAGGAAGAAAGAAACAAACACAACATCTGATGCCTCTTCAAAATATCTGTTTGCGAATCCTCAGAATGTGAAAACAGAAGATGATGAAAACGAGACTCAGTTCGTTTTGTCGGACATTGAGACGGTCAGTGATACACGAGTCCCAGTATACGTGTGCTTCCTTCTCGTCATTGCTTACATTTTGTTGGGCACTGTGTTGTTTAGCCTCTGGGAGACCTGGGACCCCTTTACAGCCGGGTATTTCTGCTTCATAACCCTCAGCACGATAGGCTTTGGGGACGTAGTACCTGGCCATAGTTTGGAGAATTGGGCCAGTCCCGCCAAACGAGTCACGTGTTCACTGTATCTGCTGTTCGGTCTCACTTTGATATCGATGTGCTTCAGCTTGATGGTGGATCACGTTCGGGAGATATCGCGGAGATTTGGTCAATGGATAGGACTTTTACAGAGAGAAGGGGAATAAACTTAACACGTAAAATCTATTTCGAAACATAGATGAACTATAGACAATCAAATTAAAACAATAAGAAAAGCAATATTTACATATTTAAAACAAATACCCCGGGTATGTCTTAATCTTCAACTTTGTATTTTTTATGAATGCATTGTGTATTTGTGTCATGTTATCTTTATAAAGGATCACAATTTTTTAAGCAACTGGCAAGACAAATTTTTGTTATAGTAATTAATCTTTTTATTTTCTTTTTACCATTGATAGACGTATAAGTGTATTGCCCGAATACAACACTATATAAAACAATTCCCCATCTTACTGATCAAAGGCTAAACTATTAAGCACAAACATATACCAAAAACTTGTCTTATAGAAAAATTACTACTGTAAACATTGGGCTGACAAAATGATTATGGAGTAATGGGAAGTCACTTTTTTTTGCTGCGGAAAACCCCAAATATCTATCCGATCTGAACATAAAATAGAGGGTTACAATGATACTAAGTGAGAATTTAAAGAATCTCAGATAATTACATTTAATCATATTCCAAGATATCGGAGGATTGTGGGTAAGAGAGATAGGTATCCTCAATATTACAGAGAGACTGGTACTGTCAATACAATGCTATGAGAAACCACAAATATTTGTATCTGTCTGATTGCAGCAAAATCTAAGAGGTGCACAATGGCACTATATATATGTGTGTAATAAAGAGCGAGAACGTCTGATTTATTTCCATTCACTGGCTTAGCATGAAAATTTTGAATATGGAAATAAAGAATAGTATTCAAGCTCAAAAGGTCATTGAAACAATACAAATCAGGAGCAGAACAAACACGGAACTCTGAAACATCAGAGGTGGGATCAGGTGCCACGGAAGATTAAGCGAACTAGACTTGAGAAGTAAGGACAGAATGGAGAAAATGTTTAAAACGTAATCCAAAGGGTAAGGATGAAAATCCAAAATTTTTACAAAGAAATATAATTATATGAGAAAAAGTATTTGAAATCGATTTCATAAGCGCAACAACGAGATAATTAGTCGATTCCTTTTCAGATTTCCAGGCTAATTAAGTGCCTACAAATCAGAGAGATTTTTAAGTAATTTAATATACAGTTATTGACTGGGTATGAGGGCAACATATGATTTGTTGTTGCCCGAGGCCGCAGGCCAAGGGCAACATTTTCACCTTCAGGTCAAAATTAATTATATTTTTTATTATATCACAAAAATTATTTATAACAAAACATACTCTTCCCTCCCTTACCTTGCAAGGCAGCAACAACTCTTGCAGCTCTTAACTTCGGCTATTTCCGTGTCGCCGATATTGAACGATGATTAAATACTTGTGATGTAGCAGTGACGTTGCGGTCTAACAATTCTTATGTTAGACCAGCAGGCCAGTCAACAGTGAAATTGTTAGACCGATGTAATAAACATTTCTTTTGTTGGACTTGTTATTAGTAATAAATATATAGAAAGCTATTTATAAGGGTATAACAAACATGTATATGAATCTTTAAATTCCTTCGGTATATGTAGAGAAAACTACAAGACTGATTTTTCTTGTGTTCAAGCGTATGTAGATTGTTTAGGTAGATTGCATATATTTATATGTTGGTAAATTTTTAACGCACAAATGTGGATGTACAAATTTACCCAATATTCAATAGACAAAAGGTTTGAATCAGCCAATTAAGGAGGGATCACTTACTTATGCATGTTACACAACATATGGGCATGTCCGTTCGGAACATAAAATAAGAAGTGCACACCGTGACACTTCAGATTCAGTGAAAGTCTGATTTTTTTTCTATGTGAAGAATTCCACACAAGAGCAATAATACAAAACGAATGGTAGTATCCATATATTGCTATTGTAAACCCCAGATTAGCTGCAGAACTGTAGCGTTATGGTCTTTGACCATAACGCTACAGATCCCGTAAGGCAAAAATGTGTAATCTACGGCGCAAGTTTTCTCTGCGCACTGTTGGGGAGAATTTCTCCACTTTCCAAGATTGGTCAACCAGACGTAACGTCAGGAATTGCTACTAATAGGAAACAAGCTAATTCAGAGAATCAGTGTCCCCCGCTTAGGGAAAAAGTCGGCTCCCCCTGACTGAATTTGTAGAATTATTAAATGTATACATGTATACTGAAGCAAATAAAATACATGTATGTCAATATGCATATAAAGATTTGATTGCTTATTCTTTATTATGTGTGTAGAAGATTTTTTTATATGGAATATTTATCACAGTGTAATGATGATTTTATAACCTCATAAATTTTTCATTTCACATGCTGAATACTATCATTTAGTAAAAAAAAAAAGGGTATTTAAAAAATAGAAAATAAAAGGATCGACCGAGAATCGATCCCGGGTCTTCTCACATTTTAAGCGAGAGACATAACCACTACACCACGGTGTCGCTTTACAAAATGTGAAGTATATGCAGAAGTGAAGTCACATACATGTATATATTCATGTTTTCATGTTCGGTATTCTCAAAATTTTACACAATCCATGGTGTTTGATTTATTTAGCCTTTATTAAACAGTTCTAATAGATGTAATAAGAACATAAAGTCCGCTGAGACCTGTTTTATACGCAATAACTCTCCTCATGCCCCTGCGCTAAAAATAGCGACAAGTAATACTATAAATACTAATAAAACAAACGGGGCGGGGCACTTTGAGAGGGGTGAGAGACGTCCTAGGGAGTTTTGGTATAAAATTACATTGCATAAGCTCAAAATCTTCTTGAAATATCGCCCGGAAATGATAGTGTTACACACAGACAGAATGTATAAATTTACGACCTTGAACTTTGACCTTTTGACCTCAAAATCAATAGGGGTCTTCATTAGGCCACAGGGAGTTGTTATGTAAAATTTCATTGCAATAGCTCAAATGGTTCCAGAGATATCGTGTGGAAACGAAAGTGTTTTAACAGACATAATTTGCTTATTTATGACCTTGACCTTTGACCTTTTGACCTCAAAATCAATAGGGGTCTTCTTTAGTGCATAGGGAGTTGCTATGCTAAATTTCATTGCAAAAGCTCAAAGGGTTCTCGAGATATCGTGTGGAAACGAAAGCGTTACAGACAGACAGAAAGACGGACGGACGGACGGACGGACGGACAGACAATTGACGGACGGACGGACGGACGGAAAACTTACATCACTTTTCAAGCGGGGGACAATAATATATACGCTTAATCCATTTTCAGCTTACATTTGCCGTACAGTCTTGATAATAAACATGTAGTGTTTTATATGAAAATAAAGGATTTTTTCTCACCAATAATGCTGTAACAAAAAGAAGTGTTATTACAAGGTATGTAACACATTGACAGACTACTATATTCCGGAATAACGTCAATTTTCATCTTGTCCCGTTGTAACAGAAAAATGCCTTCAACAGAGTTTATTCTTGAAAAAGTTGAAAAATCTTCTCGCATCTCTTTGATATTTCACAGGATCGTTCTCTTAAATCATATTTAGACATAATATGTTTGTTGACAACCTCTGTTAAGAGAATAAGTACCCACATCCTTTGAAATAAAGTCCGTTAAGATGTCCCATTCAATGAAAATTTAGTGAAACGCATTTTCCAAACTAAACTTTAGAGGAAATGAGAACCTCAGTGTTAAAAATTTTAAACATTATGCCCTTAACTTTAAAAAAAATCGCACGATGCATATTGAAAAAAAAGGAAAGAACTGTAGAAAGAGACAAACATCTGTCATGTAGAATAATCAGGTGGCTAAAAAATCAAAGGTTGTAGAAAAAAGTATGAAAGATAGTGCACGACTTGGGGAACCAAAAATTCTTAAGATACCAAAAAAAAACTTGCAAATAAAAGAATTTGCTTTTTAAAAAGGCTTTATCTGGACATTGCTTTAAAACTCCACTGAAAGACATGTGCGATAATGCCCAACTTCAGTGCCAGGCACATAAATGAAAGAAGCCAGAGATTTTTGATCGGGTTCGACATACCAATTATAATTTTTGTAAAGAGCATAAGCGGCTATAACCAAAACATTCAAAATTTTGATTTTGTTATACGTCACTGTTTTGTTTCAATATATTTTTTTTCACATGAGGGGAACATATATTGCATTCTGAAATGCATGCTTATATTGAAGATTTGTAATTTTATATTATGTAGTAACCAGAAACAATACCATAGAACGTAGAGAGATTGCGTCCTGAGAAAATTGTTCACAACTGCATGTTCATACTTGCATAGAGTAGCTGTAGAGTTGTGGCAGGTGTGCGAAGAGCAAGGTCGCATGAATTATTCCAGAGTTGATTGAGTACGCTTTATTCGTATTGTATTAACTTTATGTACGTGTAACAAGGTCTTATTATGGCTTTTCAACAAAACCAGCTGCAGTTCAACGTTGGTGTCCCAACATACACAGAAAATTTAGCATTTCGTCACCATCGACCTGGAGCAATCGTCATAGAAAAACCTGCTGTACAACAAGCTTCGTCAGTGTTTATCCCGCGACAAAATGTGTCTCATGTCACTAGAGGTAAAAATTTCTTTTTTCTTATTACATATGTCTTCAACTAGTGTATTTGCAAGTTGTTTCACACTTTATTAAGTGGTCTACATTCTAGCTGTGTTCTGTTTTGAATTTCTTCAGACTTGCTAGAAATTGATACATTTACATATATTAATGCAATATGCGACTCCCTCAGAATCAAGTTTATTCGCCCTTAACCTAGCTCACACACATCACTACGTTTTATTTCCAGTAAATTGTTTTTCTGCTTATGCTAATAGATGTAATCTAATATAATAAAATATTAGACCCCTATAATATATGTGTCAAAACATCTGGTATAATTTTTTGATCAATAAATAATGGTTTGTTCTTCCAATATTCCAAGAAAAGGATATGTATTCAAATTGACATATCAAATCCCTACAGCTATATTATAATGTATATGACTAATATGAGACTTCCCTGAGTTACCTATCTTAGCTGTTAAATGCCCCTGCAGCTTATTTCCTAAAAAAATGAAGGAGTTCCCAATTTTAATATAATGATTATGATTTATTTCTGTTATCAATTATTTCAGAGGTTAATTCGAGTTCATTGTCAAGTGATAGAATGGAAATGGCCCTGAAACTGGCCCAGAGAGACATCAAGAAACAGAGAGAACAAGAAAGAATGCAGGCACTCAGACCAAAAAGTAGATCTCCCTCACCAAAATCTAGGACAAAAATAATTCCAGGGCAAAGATTTTGGAGCAAAAATCAAAGGAGGCGTGATCCCAAAAAGGAAAACCGAGTTTTAACAGTACGAGAGCATGACAGGAATCGCCAACCAAAAGAAACGCGAACACAGACCCCTCCCCGAGCACCAAAGTTTGAGGGAAGGGTACCAGATCCAAACTTTCCTGGTAAAATATAAAATGTCTTGAGTATCACTTTTAGATTTCACGTGTGTAAATCTTACATTGACATGATTGTTGATGTATTTTGCTTGAAGTTCAGTTCTGATGAGATAAAATTTAAAGATTTATTTTTAACAGAAATTTTGTTTTTTGGTTTGGCTAAAAATAAAATTATACAACACATATAGGCCAAAGTGAGACGTTACGATATAAAATTTAATTTGTTTTTAACATTTATTATTATTTTTCAGTTTCATCCAATTCACCACCATCAAAAGACACCGACTTAAAAATTTATCCAATAAGAAAGCTTCCCCACAGTGACCAGCCAGCCAAAGAGATAGAGAGGCTGCAGAGGGAGATGGAATCTTATTTACAGCAGATCCAGGTCATCGAGCAGAGGGCCATGAGGGGTATGTATTTATTTAGCTACTTCTCTTTAATAGTTAAAGGGCTGTCAGTGGGTTGTATACACACAAACTATAGATAAAAAGCAAATGGGAGTATATGAAGTAAAAAAGAAGGGTGGGTGAGATTTGATCCTTTTTTAAAATGGATTGTCAACACATGGCTTTCTATGTCACTTCTATATGAGTAAATAAATTGTCATAATGCTTCTTATGTATTCATGTCATGGTGTAATAAAAAAAATTAGTTAACACATATTTTGTTTTTCTGAATTAAGAACAGTCTATGGATTTTCTTCAACACAAGTCGAAGAAGAAGAAGGGTTACCTGCCAGACGAGGAGGACAGCGAGAGAAAACAGGTTAGGAGTGAGGAGATCCAGACGCGGGCCGCCAGACAGCTGTACGTACTCAGACAGCAGGTCCGAGAGGTCCAGAACCAGTTAATCAGAGGGGAACCAGACAAACTAAAGCACACCAAGAAGGTACAATAAAGTTTTGTTTAAATTTTTATTTTGGATGATAAGGAATTGAATGATAAAAAAGGCTGAAATAAGTGCTTTATCTGAGTTGTGAACTATACAATCATTTTAAATTTATCCATTTTCAGAAGCATGAATTGATTAAAAAAATTTTCATTGATGATATTGAGAAGTTGCAGAAGTGATATGTCAAGTAATGATCCATTTGCTATGTTTAATTGTACAGAGTCAGATCATGGCCCGTTTGGCCGCTGCCCACCGTGGAGCAGTCAGAGCTGTCCAGTCCTTCGTAAACAGCCTACCCTTCACGGACCTCCAGAGGGGACTACCCAGCAGTTACCAGGAGTTAGCTCTCCTGATCAGACAGATGTCACTACTGAGCACACAGCTTAGTGCCGACGACAAGTCCAGTGTCCATCAAGATCTGCTGACCATGCTGGACAGAGTTGATGTATGTATTTATTGTACTGTTATAAAGTTTCTGAGAATCATTCTTGAAATATTGTATTGAGTGGAAGGTGGTTATTTAGAGAAAAACATGTTTAAAAATAAAATCAATTATGTGTAGTTCTAAAATTTAAAACATTGATCTTTATTTAGGAGTTGAACAAGGCCTGGTGTGCAGAAGTCCAGACATCTGGTAGAACAGAAGGAGGTCCCCGCCAGAAGTCACCCCCCAGGCCTCCGTTTGAGGTTCCCAAACCTGCCCATCATACCAAACCTACATTTGTGTCCCATAAAGGCAAAGAGAACAGAGCTAGAAAAGGTACATACCTCTATTAATTTATCGTGCAGAATGATAACATAAAAAGTAAAATATTGCTTGTCGTTATTCTATGTTTTGTTATGACCATTACATAGTATTTTTAAAAAAAATTTTTTTTCTTAATTAGGTGTTCTGATCAGCAGAAAACCAGCCAAAGTTACAAAGAGAGCACCGCAAGGTACACTTATGTGTTCCAGTCAGCAATTCTACAAACTACATTCTTACAGAATACCTTTATTTGCAAATTCCTAATTCAGCTATATCTCTCATAGATGGATATAGGACTTTTTATGTACTATCTGCATTGTAAATACTCTGAGATTTTCTGTAACTGAATATCTGTCTGCCATCTGTAGGTAGAACACTGACCCCAGAGAGGAGAGCAACTTTACAGGCCGGAATAGCAGCACTGATGCAGGGAGATAAACAGAAGAGCCAAGCTGATCTTACAGAGGGAGGTAAACAGAGCAGCAATGCTGGAATGGCTTGGGAGATCCCAATAAGTAAACCCAAAAAGAGCCTCATCATCCCAGGAAAATTACAGGTAAATTCCTCAAACAAATTAGAGCATGGGTTATAATTCATAAAAGTATTATGATCTTAAGTATCACTAAAGGAAATTATTTGTCATGCAGATAAAGAAAACATATCATATATTTGTAGTTTAAACATTAATAGAATTTTCCTTTGTTTTCTCAGGCTAAACGAGACAAGGCCCAGAAACCTGTGATCAAGTCTGTACCAGAGACACATTATGCTGACCCCACGGTAGCCTCCCAGCTTAAAGTGACCACCCCCTACTTACAGGGGACAGTCCTAGAGAGGTCATTTTCTGCTCCCCCATCCCCCAGGTAGGTATCACGTTAAGGTACTCAGTTAAAAGAATTATTTGTGATCATGTAAGATCTTGGGATATTGACTTAATATTTTATCTATATTGTTTAGAGGTTACAATGTCAGTCCAGATAGCCCTCTACACGGAGCCTGGAAACCTGCTGGTAAAACACCATCCCAGAGTAGAAGAACTCGATCTCAGAGTCCACAGTCCGCCCGACGAAAAATTATGTCTCAGGACCTAGATGAAAGTGTTGTACAGTAAGTCAAAATAGGAGATATTCTATAGGGATCTTTTGTTATTGCCATTATGTTATACCATGTCAGGGTACTAGATATTTTGATAAAACAATCAAAAAAGTTATTCATTTTCACTTTCAATAACATATTTCAAGACTTAATCACTTTACTCTTAAGTGTTTGTGATGGAAATTTTTTCTTCCTTCGTTTTCATTGGAGATAAACAGTGTTCTGTATTTGATGTACGTATCTATAAGCATAAGAATTCTGTAACCTTTCTTTTCAGAAACCTCTACCTTGATGCCTTTTCTAGCCCCAGCCAGGTAAGGCAGATTTTGAGATTCTGAATATTAAAACTGAATGTACATACTTTATCATTTAAAGATTGATTAGACCTTAGAAAATAACAAGAAATATTAACCATTTTCATGGGAATGAAATTCTGCAATGTTATAGCAGTTTTACAAATGATACACTGTAATTTGTAAATCACGTTTGTGTTATACTGCATGAGCAATTTTAGTATGAGCATATTTTCATACTATATGTAATAACTTCGTAATTTTGATATGGTACCTTTATTTGCAGTCGATTGAGTTCCAGAACAGAGGAAGATCTCCTACAAGACAAAGGTAAGTAAATTTAAATGGTTTAAAATCCAAGAAAATAACATATGGATACTCTTAAATTTTAAACTTTACTGTTGTAAAATGTTTTATTTTGGTTGTAAATTTTTTCCCGTAACAGACGTCAGTTCGGCAGATCCCCCGAGGGTTTGGTCACTGAGGCAGAGATGGCAATCAGAATGAGACTGAAACCATTGTTAGACCAGGCAGAGGTAAATGACAGAAATACTTATAAATGTTTATATATTTTTAAATTTAATGTTACAAGACCTAGCTGCACAAATTTATACAGCCACCTTATAACTACATTCTGCAATAATGGGTCATTGTAAATCCCAGTAATATTCTGTTTTATATCTGCAACACTGCTAGTAAATTTTCATTTTCAAAAGTGAAAACTTATCCTAATGTTAATTGTAGAAAATGGCAGCCAGACAGGAGCGTTTGTTAGTCACAAAAGACGTCTCTGCCAGACAGAAGCTAGCAGACAAGGCCTACAACAATGTAAGCTGACATTGATCCTAAAAGTGATATAAGTATCTTTGATCTGTCTAAAGGGCTTTCATTGCTAAATACACAGATCCTTTAGTATCAAGCAATATGAAAGGCCAAAGCAAGCTTTTACAGCTTTTTTGTTACACATATTCTTTTTTTGTAAAATATCCTTTCATACAACTGCATTGAGATGCATGAATTTAGTCTTTTTAAAATTTAATGTTTAGAATTATCTCCCTTCCAAGTTAAAAAAATATTGGAAAGCTGGATAAGATGAGGTTGATGTTTTTGACTTTGAAGGTTGAAGCTCATGGAGACGTGCTGGCTGAGATGATTTTGAATGACATCATCAGGGACACTGCCGAGGAACTGGAGAATTTAGAAATGTCGGAGCGAGCTGGGCGTGAAGCAGTCCGACTACAGAACAACCCAACACTAGAGAACGTGTTCCAGAGACTGGAACAGATGGAGGTATGTGAGATAAAACACATACAGGCAAATGGTACTGTAATATACATACAGTCAATGAGTCATACTTTGTTATAGTGAAACTCAGTCTTGGGATATATAGGGAACTGAGATACTGAGATTAAAAAAATAGATATAGGTAAAGTGGTTTCAACTTCAATCTTACTTTAACATGTCCTTAAAATACAACATATTTAAGTTAGAGATGCCTAAAGTGTAATTATATAGTGGCAGACTTTTCTTAAACATTCAGTGTGAATAAGACATTTTTTGTGTTCTGAGGGAGTAAATGAAAATCAATTTGTGGGAAACAAGATTTGGATTCCTTAGAGTTTGATCAGTTAAAGTTTATTCTTATTTGGTCTTATATCATTATTCAGCAAGAGCAGTTTGAAATCAGAAGGCGCTGGGCCACTCTGGAGTTTGAGGAAGCCGGATCAAATCTAAGATCTAAAAGACAAACAGGTTAGTCAGTTAAGGTTTATTGTCATGCCTTGTTCTTTTTTGAGTGGCCAATGGTTTTTTTTGCTACTATTCACATTTGCTATTATTACATGTAATTGTTGATGGTATTTGAGGCAATGATAGCACAATAAATACATGTATATCTATAAGTAGATGTTTAAAGTACAGCAGAGCATATGGTAATTTAACAAAAAACATTTTTTTCAGCATCATCTCTTGTTTCAAAGCCAAATGCACCTGTTGCCATGGAAATCACCAGGAACAGTGGACCTAGTGTAATGGGCCAAAAGACTTTGTATGTATTTGGTTCCAGATAAAATAGTTTAAAAGTAGTCTTCAGTTTTAAAATAAATGTTTATATGTTTTGTTTGTCATGAGATGATCATGTTTGTCTGTAGCAGAGAAGTAAGGTAAAACCTTCTCTGTTTACAGGTATCAACAAGAGTACAAAGAGGACCAACCAATCATATTTACAAAATTCAAACCTGAACCAAAGTTTGTACAAAATAGAGTCGTACAGGAAGAGGAGGGAACCAATATAGGAGGCACCAGTAAAAGAGTGGAGATAAGTCTGGCTAAAAACATGGTGGATAATATCCACAGTTACGTGGAAAAATATGAGAGACATTTAAGGAAAACCTCTCATCAGATTCAGGGAAAATTTGATCCATGGAAATTAGTTGAAGAGTAAGTAAACTATGATTAATTACAACTTAAATACAAGGTGGAAAGAACAGCTAAGTAAAATGAAATTTTATGTAAAAATCATGATTTACTTTTAAAATTATAAAGAAGTACAATCATATTTATTATATGATTTACAGAGTTTCTGATCAAGTATTGGAGGATTGTCTGAATGAAGTGGCTGGGGAGTTGGAGGATATCAATGAAGCAGCAGTTAACCAGCTCTGTAAATCAGAGTTTATGATCAATTCCACCCTCAACAGCACACAGACTTCACCAGGCTTGACTCCCGGGGGTTCACCCCACCAGAGCCCTGCCCACTCACCCGGGGGGTATGTCCCAGTGACCTCTCCTAATGGGGCGGTAAGGGTGGTGGCCTTCAGTGAAAAAGAAGATCTGGTCTCCGCCTCTCAGGAAGAACTGACGATATCAGAGGAGATGACGGAGGAGGACGGCGAGGAGGAGGGGGAGGATTACGAAGACGATTATGAAGAAGACGACTGATGAGCATAGAAGAAGACGACTGATGAGTGTAGATGATGATAATTGTAGATCTATTGACAGTAGTAAATTATTTTAGTTTTATAACAGTGTCATTCATAAAAAAAATCCAATTTAGATTACAGTCTTAGACACTGCATTATACAAAACTGAACAAAGTACTATAAGAATTTTTCATAGTGGGTTATGAACTTCAGTTTCATCAGTGAAAATTATTTTCACCCATACTTTGACAAGGACTTTTAAAAATATAATACTGAATATTTTTAGATTAAAAAAATTTTGTCCCTTTCTTGAAATCAATTCCAGATCCAATAAAAAGCTATTCAATATCCTCTGTTTTAAAATTTATGTATGTGTGTATCAGAATTGCTTTAGAAATTTCTTTATGGTAATTATTAACATAAAAGATACAGTGGTTGTACTTACATGTACATAGTTCAAGTACTTGTGTCATGAGACTGTAGAAAGCTTCCTGTCTGTGATATTTTGTTAATTTATCTTTAAAGATAAGATTATTTATGTTAATTAACATTTAAGATGTTTATAAAGTGTGCAACATTTATGTATTTTTATTTAGTTCTGATAAGAAGGACCTCTTTCCTTTGAAATATATTTTGATTTTGCCAAGTTGTTAGTTTCTTTACCAAAGCAAAATATATAAAAAAAAAATGAAAATATATTGTTTCTTATTTATAAATCACAGATGCAGAGAAGATGAAATTGCATGTAAGCTCTCTTATGTTATTCAGATTCAAATCCCAACCTTTTAATCTATTTATTCTCAATTTTTCAAAGACCAGTTCAAGACAATTGTAGGACTTTAGCAAAAAGATAGAGTTTCAACCAGTCGCAGTTAGCTGACATTATTGTGTATCTCCATGCCAGTTCTGGGAGACATAGATAGTCACAGTTGTATAATTTTTTTTATGGAGAGGAATGTTGTCTGTAGAAAATCACTCCATGTACTGAAATTAACAAACTGGATGTTTTCGAAAACAGTGATACCAGTATTTAAGTGAATGTTTTTAAATGTACCCTTATAACATGAAAAGTGAAGGGGTCACAATGGTTATTCTTATTTCAAAAATATGCATAAACTAATACTGAATTTAAAATGCACAACACAACTGAGCATATGGGCCATTTATTTCAAATGATAGATTAATAATTATTAGTCCAAAATTTAAGATTGTGAAGAAGTAAATGCTGATTTTGAAAGAGGGAGTTTTAGTGGTAATTTTTTCAAGGAAAAGTGACCGAAATTGGAACTCGAAAATTAACGTTTTAGACCCCTAAGGAATTAAAAGCTTATTGAACATCTGCAGAACACCTCCATCTTGCGAAAAAGTAATGTCTACAGCCTAACATGTATACTGTTCTAGACCGGATGTTTGTAAAATCACACCGTTTTTCAAGCTCCATTTAAACCTCAACATGAACATGAAAATTCACAAACTGTAGCAAATCTGTCTTCTAGCAAAAGATAAAATGGCTAAATGAAAATATGGAGATAACGAACAGTATTCAAGATCAAATGTCCATAAAACAATTAAATAAAAATATAGGAGCAGAACAAACACGGACCTCCAGAACATCACAGGTGGGATCAGGTGTCATGGAGGAGCGAGAATCCCCTGCCGACCGGTCACAACCGCAGTGTGTTCCTTGTCATGATTGGGAAATAACGGAAAAATCCGCCGTCAATGCAGTGTATAAATAATGGACTAACAATTGGTTTTAAAAGCGTCAGTCATCATCTGACTCAATGATATATTGTATTTGCTGACAAGGTCATTGTATCGACCTTAGAACTAACGAAATGATGACTTTAAACAAGGCTGCTGATATTCTGTTTCATCAACTTGTTTGTCAATATTTTACCTCGTTTTAGAAATTGTTCATACGTAGAGCATGCCCTTGCGTATCGAATCAACTGAGATATATAAACTCCGTATGCAGGTGATGAAGGTATATTGCTGCGTAAGTATGGGTAGTTGACGATAGTGAACGTAAAGTCATCACGTTTATCATACATGTAAAGCTGGTTGTTAGATAACCATTAACGTCTTTTTCAAGTAAAATATCCAAACATAGACAGATGTGTCAGACTCTGTAGTATCCTTTATCTCAAGCTCAATAGGATATACTGTATCGACACAAGAATTGAAATTGCCATTGTTAATTGACAATACGTCGTCGATATATATAAATGTCGAGTTAAAGGCCACAGCAAGTGTTTTCTTGTTTTCACGCATAAGATTTTGCACAAATTCTGTTTCATATGAGTACAAAACAAGATGTGTTTGTGAAACACTATGCGCCAGACGGTAACAAAGTTACAAAAAAAAACTATTTTTAGCATATCTGTCACAGTCAAGGTAACAAGGTCATTGATATTAATGTTATTTGAAAGAACTTTAGTAGTGGAGTATGCATACCAAATATGAAGTCTATATCTCCTATGGTTCAGGATTTATGGCAAAAGTTCGAAAATAGCTATTTTTAGCATTAAGGTCACAGTCAAGGTCTCAAGGTCAATGACTTTGGTGTCATTTGTATGAGCTTTATTAGTGAAGTATGCGTACCAAATATGAAGTCTCTATCTCCTATGCTTTGAAAGTTATGGCAACAGTTTAAAAAAGCTATTTTTAGACTGTAGGTCACAGTCAAGGTCACAGGGTCATTGACCTTGGTGTCTTTTGAAAGAACTTTATTAGTGGAGTATCCATACCAAATAAGAAGTCTCTATATCTCAAGGTTCAAAAGTTATGGCGAAGGTTAAAGTTTGCTGCAGACAGACAAACAGACAAACAGACAGGACAAAAACAATATACGCCTCGGATCTATCGATCCAGGCGCATAAAAAGGTTTGCTAATAACGGGACACAATTGGTACCCATGGAAGTTGCAATAGATTTATGGAAGACCTGGTCTCCAAAAACAATATAGATACATATATTATCAATCAGAAACTCAAGCATCTTTTTGAAGACAACTTCATAGTAATTGTGTGTACAATCAGAATGTCTTTTTATTTCAACAAAATAATTTTGCACATGACCAATGATAAGGTATGTAAATTTACGAGTTCCATTTTTATTGAAAAAGCAGCTGTCAATGATATCATAAAGCCTGGAGTTTAAATTATCGTGTATGAAGTTGAAAAGTCGTAAGTTTTGAAGCTGTTGGATCTGGTAAAATCAATCTTTTGATTTCAAATTGTCCAAAAGTTCCTTGGAATTTTTTAAGTATCCACATTTGATTTACGCCACTTCTTGAATATTTTGTTGCACAGTACTCTTGAAGTTGACATCTTAGTGAGGAGTAAAGAAAGAGGCTAGGTTGAACAATGACTGGAACCCGCAATGTATCTTTGTTTGAAAGGATTCTTATGCAATTTCGGAATCCATGCAATACATATATGGTAGCTCAATTACATTTCTTTTCGGGGGGGGGGGGTATTAAAGATATTCAAAACTGGTATTTGATTTTGATGAATGTCTTCCTTAGAAAATGACCTATGAGTATAAGTTGGATTTCCACTTGTTGAATTAAATCCAAGTTCTTCTAAAATACAATGTATATAAAGCCCTACAAACGAAGACAATGTTGTTACCTGCTTTGTCAGTAGGGACCATTGCGTACGAATCATGTAATATAATCTATCTAATTCTTTTCTTCACTTCTGCATTATTGAATACAGAAGGATAAATAGTTTTCATATTGCCCCTCAATCTTTTAATACGCGATTTTATATGGATCTGTTACATTTAATCCATTCAGACAAAGTGTCAACGTCTTTTTTCATATCTCGCCCATCGTCTGGCGTAAATGGAAGAGTTTGGGGAACCAGAAATTTTTAAAACAGAAAATTTTGTTGTCCTTCTTAATTTAATTCCAAGGAGTATACTATTCCAAGGGTAAAAATGTACATTCCAAAACTTTATTGTACATCCACAGAACATCATCAATTACATGCCACAAACTGATTTGTCTACTGGGTAAATACACTGTATATGATTTCTTGGAAAAGGTTTCTAAAAAAAGTCATTTCGACCCTAGGGTGAAAGGAAAAATTCGCATCTTACATTAAACTATGGAACACCGCTAATCGTCTCGAAAAAGGCGATTGGGTTCTTTTAGACGGTTGATGAAAGGACTTTTTTCACATTTCAGTAGTGAAACCTTTCCTCAGTCAGTACAACTATTTTTGGCATCACTGAGGGTATACACTAGCACGTGAGAGTTTATAATAATTTTCATCATCTACTGATCTGATTATGATTAAATATAAGGATAACGAACAGTGGTCAAGCTCAAACGTCCATTCAATCAAAACAACACGGCATAGAAATCATGGACCTCTGAAACGTTGGAGGTGGGAACAAATGCCATAGAGGGGAAAACATCTCCTGTCAATCGGTCGTGTGCTCCTTCCCATGATCGGACTATAGAGAAAATCCGTAGACAATTCAGTGTATAAATAATGGCCTAACAATTGGAATGAAAAAAAAACAGTCAGCATTCGACTTAATGATAGATTGTACTTGCTGACAAGGTCACTGTATCAACTACAAAACTTGGTAAATCTCGACTTTAAACGAGACTGTTGATATCCTTGTTTCATGAACTTATTGGTCATTATCTTTCCTTGTTTCAGAAATTGTTCGAACGTAGAGCAAGCTCTTACGTACCAAATCGACTAAAAGACATACACCCCATGCATTTGCAGGTGATAGTGGTATACTGCTACACAAGTTGATGGCAGTAAAATTGAAGTCACCACTTTTATCACAAAGTTTTTGTTATATTACCATCATCGTCTCAAGCCACGGTCCGGAGTCTGCATATAGCTCTCTCCTATCCACGGTCCGGAGTCCGCATATAGCTCTCTCCTACCCGGCCAGAATGAGAGAGGATCGTACATTTTGGCTGTGGTTTGCGACGATGGATTACCATTTGCGTTTTTTTCTCGTAAAATATCCAAATATGAAACAGATGTGTCAGATTCTACGGATTCTATACACCGAGTCCACTGGGATAATCGACACATGAATGGAAGTAACTATTATTTATTGATAAAACTCATACTAATACATGTGTATTTAACTGTCGAGTTGTATGCCACAGAAAGTGCTTACTTCTTTTCCTACATAAATTGTAAATTTCAAAATAAATTGTGCTTAAAAATAGGTGTACTTACAGTAAGGCGCATTTGGTACTCATTGGAATGCCGACAGTTTGTTGGAGGACCTGGTCTCCAAAAGCTCATTCCTTTTTTTAAAATTAATTTTGCAAATGACCATTGACAAGGTAAATTATCGTGGTGATTGATTACATAGAGTGTTAAAAAGTAAGTTTGGATGTTATTGCTGTTTGTAAAAAAAGTTATAAAGGTTACTTTAGGTTATAAGTATCTACATATGATTTACACCACTTAATTTTATTGTTGTGCAATACTCCTGGAGTTTCTCCTTCTTTGCTGTTAAATTAAGTGAAGAGTAAAGCAACAGGCTTTGTTGAACATTTACTGGAACCGGCCATGTCTTTTTGTTTGTAAGGATTATTTTGAAGTTTAAATTTTTTAAAAAAGGTTTTGAAGGTATCCAGTAAAGGT